TGTTGTTTGGTGGGCCCAGGCTGGATTCGAACCTGCCACCTTGGGTGTACATGGCTGGCACCTTAGCCACTTGAGCCACAGGCGCCAAGCCCACACCTTAAAATCTTAACTGAAAAATATATTTTTCTTTGTAACCATTTTCCTGATTTTAAAATAACCTGAATTTCTTTTCTTTTCTTTTTTTTTTTTGAGACAGAGCCTTAAGCTATCCCCCTGGGTAGAGTGCTGTGGCTGCACAGCTCACAGCAACCTCCAACTCCTGGGCTCAAGCGAGTCTCCTGCCCCAGCCTCCCAAGTAGCTGGGACCACAGGTGCCCACCACAACGCCCGGCTATTTTTTGGTTGCAGCCGTCATTGTTGTTTGACGGGTCCGGGCTGGATTCGAACCCGCCACCTTAGGTGTATGTGGCTGGCGCCTTAGCCACTTGAGCCACAGGTGCGGAGCCAAATAACCTGAATTTCAAAGCCAAATATTTTAATTATGGGTTATGCTAAACTTTAAACAATTCTGTGCCATTTTTAAGTGCTACAACCTCTTAAAAATGTTTCTAACCTTTCTTAGATGAGGTCCGGGCTTACTTTTAGGCAAGAATAAATATTATGCCACTGGTATTTATTGTATGGTTAGTCATCAAGAAACCCAGTAAGTAATAATCCATCAACACACTGTGACAGATATAATCCTTACCCATTGATTCCTCACTAGAACTCTTGAGACAAAAATTCAGTGGAGTAACAGCAAGAGTAACTTCCTCTTGATTGGATGTAAAAAGAACAACTGCCTCAGCAAGCAACCTATAAAATGTAAAGAGCAGTATTAACATTATTTGAAAAATAAGAAAAATTTAACATTATTAACTCCAATTCAAATCATTAATCTGGAAATAAGTTGGTTGGCCTGGATTTAGGAAAATTTACTCAAAAGGCCTATCTTCTTTCTTATTTATAAACTGTTATTTTTTTATATATTTCTAAATTATAACTCTATTTGAAGGCCAAGAGAATAGCAAAATAGGTCCTTAGTAAAACATGTGAAAGCTACAGTATAAACAAAATATTAGAATAAAATATCTTTAATTCCATGTTCTTGTGTGCCCAATATATTTTTAAAAATTGACCTGAGATCATTCTCTAAAGTAGATAGTAGGAGTGCAGCCATTTGGAATTCTTCTACACCTTAAGCTCCCAGCCAGTGAATAAAGCCCTTCCTCTTTGTTTGGGTGCTCTTTCTCTCTGTTGGGCCTCGTTTTCCTGCAACATTTTTGGTTCCCTGAATGGGAAGCAAGATCAGCAAGGAGAACAGGCTCAAGATGCACCTAGTAGTTGCCACCAATCCTCTGGACACCCATATGGGGGGCCCTGATCAGCCTGGGCAAAGTGAACCACTGAGCGTGCCAGGGAGGCAGCTTGGTCTCCCTGTGTGGACACCTTGACTGGGTGAAGAAAGGACCCCCTTGGCAGGTCTTCAAGAGTCAAACACCAGGAGGAACTGGCATGCAGGAACTGGTACCTGCATAGGGAGAAGTCTAAGGCAAGGACATGATGAAGGCACTGGTTATTTTACCAAGGCTTTGGCTAGAGTAGCATTTCCAGAGGTGTCCAGACTGCATTAAGGAATTAAGTCCTTTGAAAAAACTAGCCAGATACCCAAGAATAACGTTTCCTGATCTGTGATACCTCAGGAAAAACTGGAACCTGAATGAGAGTTTCCCAGTAAATGGTGTGACTGTCACATGGTCTCATAAGTGTTCCTACACCTAACTGATGTTCAGGAATATTCACTTCAATTGTCCAGAACTTTGGATCAGTTCTCTAGGAGCTCTTAAAACTATGAAATATATTAAGAACTGTGCTAAGTCTATAAATAGGAATACTAATGTTCTCATTGTGTAAACCTTAGCCTCAAAGTCCAGAACCTGTAAATGTTTATAAGTAATTGCTAAATGTTTTCATTATCTTACACTGAACACAACCTTGACTTCATCCCTGTCAGTGTAATAAAGACAGAAAGCCACAAACATATATAAGGTGGCTGGGGGTCATGCAGAAGCTGGATGAAAGCCCTGAGAATTTCTGTGAAAGAGTGTGTGAAACATACAGACTGACCAAAGCATTGTATGATGTTATTAAGGGGGGAGAGAATAGGCCAATTGAATAGAAATCCAGCCAACCAAAGCCTTCAAGAGACTAAAGGAAAAACTGGGTAGTCCCGGTGCCAGGCTTCTCTGACCTGGCCAAGCCAAAAGGTATCAGAAAGAAATAGAGCAGCTGAGGGAATGCTCACCCAGACTGTAGCATCCTGGGCAAGATCAGTTGCTTATCTCTCTAAGTATCTTGACAGGGTCTCGAAAGGATAGCCCCTGTGCCTAAGAATACTTGCAGCCATTGCCATGCTGGTATAAGAGGCTGATAAATTGACTTTGGGACAAAATTTAAGTGTCTGGGTACCATACACAGTGGTTACTCTTATGAACACCAAGGGGTATCATTGGTTGACCAAAGCATGCCTCACCAAATATCAAAGCTTACTGTGTAAAAATCTGAGGTTGGTTATAGAGGTTGTATGCATGAAGCCATGAACTTAGGATAGAAGGAGAAGAAATTAAGAGGCTTCTGGGGAGATACTTTTACATTCCCCTGTTTGCCACCTTTGCCAAGAAAGTCAGCCAATATTGTGTGGCATGCAACCAACACACTACTGGACAGAGACTATCCCTGCTACCTAAAATTCAGTCCTACAGGGAAGCCCCTTTTAAAGATGTGCAAATGGACTATACTGAGTTGTCCAGATATACAAGAAATGGTGCTCACTAGTTATGGTTTGCACTTACTTGGAATAGGTGGAAGCCTTCCACACCAGGAAGAAGATTCTTGAAGTAGTAGAAGTGTTGCCCAGAGAGATCATCCCATGGTTTAGATTGCCACTCTGGTTTAAATTTGACAATGGACTAGCCTTCACAACAGAATTAATCCAAATGATAGCTAAAGCTTTGAATGTCACCTGGAAACTATATGTATCATATAGGCCTCAAAGCTTGGGCAGGGTAAAGTACATGAACAGGGCCATAAGAACAAGAATCAGCAAACTCTTCCAGGAAGCAAAGCTTAATTGGCTATAGGCCTTGCCACTAGTGTTGTTCAAAGAGGCCTCTATCAATCTTCTGCAATTTAGCAGGGACTCCTAAAAGAACTGGGAGAGACTGAAGTGAACAGACAAAAGCTCTAGGAGGAATAGCAAGGAGGATCTCCACTTGGATAATTAACCGTGTTCTATTTAGTCTTTTGTGTCTGTACATCCTTTCTCTGTGGAATCAAGGAAATCAAGTCTAGGTCAAAGATCAGAACCTAGTCCCCCTCAAACCAAGATAGAAAGAAAGGACTTTACACCATCATCCTGACCACACTCACGGCAGTGAAGGTGAAAGGAATCCTCACCTGGATTCATCACGGCTGGCTAAAGAGAGCTTCACTGCCCCGTGGGAAGCAAAGGTAATGTTTAAGATGGTAAACATGCCCTGCTCCAGCCCCATACTGGGAGGGGGCTGGTCAACACATGGCTAAAGCCTGAGGAAACTCCTCAAGGTACTTGCCTTAATTGGATTTTGGGGAAAGAAGAGGAGGGATGTGACACAGAGAAAAGTAAAAACTCCTATGTGTATTAGCCCACCACAATGGTACAATTAGGCCTGGGTAGAGAACCGGAGAGGAGTCACAGTCCCTGAAATCTGTGTGCTGATCCAGACCAGGATAATAGAAAAGCCCAGCCAGGTGACTATTGCCTGTAGTGCTATGTGACAGTGCTGCAACAGAAGGAACTGGGAAAGAAACTATAGGACAGATCAGAAACACTTCTGTGCCTTAGATTTTATAGAAAAGTGATGTAAAGTTGAATGTGAAAGGTGATTAATATCGGCACCTGCAAAAGCAAGCTGATATTGAGACCCCAAATTAAAATATATATGGAGTCTCAAAAGGGGGAATGAGAGAGGATATCCGAGAAGGGTGAGGTCCAGGAGAACAGGTCTTCTTAAAGTGACCACAAGGATACAGCTGCAGGGTCCTCGTCATACCGACTTAGCTCTTGGAAATTTGTAAACTTAACTTTCTGGAACTTGGAAATTTCCACTTCTGTGAAATCCTGTAGTCCTGTGATGGAACAGCACCTCCCACTTGATTCAAATGGACCAATGAGAATGGTAACTGAGGGTTGGAAGTTTCTGACTGGAGATAAAAAGGGAATGACTAGGGAGCGTGGCTATTTGGAATTCTTCTATGCTGTAAGCTCCTGGCTGATGAATAAAGCCCTTCCTCTTATAAATAAATAATAAAAGTAGATAGTAGAAAATGAGGCTGTTGAAATACAACTCAAGTTAATTATGTTAGAGACCCACCTGAGTCTGCTCCCTGTATTCTTTCCCTCTGTTACTTTCCTCAAGTATTATCTATTACTTTCAAGGTTTTCTCAACATCCCAAATGTCCTTTTTTTTTTTTGTAGTTTTGGCCAGGGCTGGGTTTGAACCTGCCACCTCTGGCATATGGGGCCAGCACCCTACTCCTTTGAGCCACAGGCACTGCCCCCAAATGTCCTTTTATCCTGGGCTTCCTTTCTTTTTTTTTTTAAAAAAAAGCTTTATTGAGATATAATTCACATATGACATAATTCACAGATTTAAGGTTGCTTGATTAGCATTTCCCTAATGACTTGATGATGTTGGGCACCTTTTTAAGTGCTTACTTCCATTTGGACATCTTCTTTGAAGAAATGTCTATAAAATCCTTTCCTTTATTTATTTATTTTTCTTTTGCAGTTTTTGGCCGGGGCTGGGTTTGAACCCACCACCTCCAGTATATGGGGCCAGTGCCCTACTCCTATGAGCCACAGGCACTGCCCCTTTCCTTAATTTTTTTACTTAGGCTGTCTTTTTATTATTGCATTCCAAGTTCTACATTATTTTTGAAACTGAGGTGTTGCTAGATAAAACTGACATCCTTTGAATTTATGAAATCTTAGTGTCAAACTAATGATAGACATTAGTTCAGCAGTGTTTCTTGATGTCAAAATGTCAGAAACACCTACCAAATTCATTTGGGAACTTTTCTAGTTAAGGGGAAAATGTTATACAAGACACTAAATAACTTGATACAAAAAAATGACAACATGAACATGCAATTCAAAAGGGAAGAAAAATACAAATTTGATAATAAATACATGAAAATCTTCAAACTCACTAGTAACAAAACACAACAATAAAGAACATCTCTTGGTTCAGTGCAGTAGCTCAGTGGTTAGGGCGCTGGCCACATACACTGGGGCTGGTGGGTTCAAACCTGGCCTGGGCCTGCTAAACAACAGTGACAACTACAACAAAAAAATAGCTAGGCATTATGGCGGGTGCCTGTAGTCCCAGCTACTTGGGAGGCTGAGGCAAGAGAATCGCCTAAACCCAGGAATTGGAGGTTGCTGTGAGCTGTGTGACACCACGGCACTCTACTGGGTTTGACAAAGTGAGAGTCTGTCTTAAAAAAAAAAAAAAAATCTCATAATACTACCAGGTTAGCAAATCTATCAGGTTGGCAAAATTATTTCAAAATTGATTATATTCTCTACTTAAAAGGATTCTTCTACACTTTCAGTGGGAATGTAAACTGGCACAAACTTTTCAGATGGCAATTTAGTAGCCAGTATCTGTACAAATTTAAAATTTTTATAAGTCTTTGACCCATCCAATAATTCCTTTTTTTGTTCCTTTTTAATTTTTATTTACCTATTTATTTTTTGAGACAGGTAGTCTCATTCTGTCACCCTGGATAAAATGCCATGGCATCACTGTAGCTCACAACAACCTCAAATTCCTGGGCTCAAGCAATCCTCTTGCCTCAGCCTCCTGAGTAGCTGGGACTACAGGCACCAGCCACAATACCCAGCTAGGTATTTTTTTCTATTTTTAGTAAAAGACTAGGTCTCTCTTAAACTGGTCTTGAACTCCTGAAGTCAAGCAATCCACCCACCTCAGCCTCCCAGAGTGCTAACATTACAGGCATGGGCCACCATGCGCAGTGCCAGTAGTTCCTTCTCTAAAACTATCTGTATTAGGCAGCGTGAAAGATGGCCCCAGTGATCCCCACTTCCTGGTATTCAAGTCTATATTTGATCCCCTTCCCCTGAATGTGGGCTAGACTGACAGATTCACTTGTAACAGAGAAAATGGCAGGGGTGGTAAGATGGAAGTTCTGAGATTATCCACAGAAATAATGTAACACTTAGGGATAAAATCAGTTCACATTAAAAAAAATGTTGAAAGCTGTGTGTTCTAAGACTCAAATAGGCATCATATAAATGCAAATTATAATGAGATAACGTATTTATCTTTTTTGAGAGAACTTGATGTAGAAAGCCACTGATGCAGCCAGGTGTGGTGGCTCATGTCTATAATACTAGCACTTGGGAGGCTAAGGCAGGTAGATTGCCTGAGCTCACGAGTTCAAGACCAGCCTGAACCAGAGCGAAACCTCATCTCTAAAAATAGCCAGGCATTGTGGTGGGCGCCTATAGTCCCAGCTACTTGGGAGGCTGAGGCAAGAGAATCACTTGAGCCCAAGAATTTGAGGTTGCTGTGAGCTGTAACACCACAGCACTCTACCAAGGGTAACATAGTGAGACTCTGTCTCCAAAAAAAAAAAAAAAAAGAAAAGCTCCTGATGGGATATTTTTAGAAATTCCTTGGCCACTAAATTATCACTGCTACCATCAGGCAATTCTTATCTACTATTATCTTTTTCAAAGTTTCCTCTTTTTAAAAACAAATTCCAGGACATTATGAAGATATAAACTTTTTGGTTACATAAATTGCTTTTGTACAGTTTAAGTCAAAGTTATAATTGTGCTCATCACCCAAACAGTGTATATTGTACCCATTGGGTGTGAATTTATCCACTCCCTCTGCCCCCTCCTACCTGCTTGATTTCTGATGAATGTTATTTCCATATGTGCACATTAAGCATTGATTGATTAGTTCCAATTTAATACTGAGCACTTGTAGTATTTGTTTTTCCATTCTTGTGATCCTTTACTTAGAAGAATGAATCTAAAGTTTCATCCAGGTTACTACAAAAGGTATTAGTTCATCACTTTTTTATGGCTGAGTAGTACTCTATGGCATACATATACCACATTTTATTAATCCACTCATGTTTATTGATGGGCACTTGGGTTGTTTCCACAACTTTGCAATTGTGAATTGTGCTGCTATAAACATTTGAGTGCAGGTGTCTTTTTTATAAAATGTCTTTTTTTCCTTTGGGTAAACACCCAATGGAGGGATTACTGGATCAAATGGTAGTCTACTTTTAGTTCTTTGAAATATCTCCATAGTACTTTCCATAGAGGTTGTACAAGTTTGCAGTCCCATCAACAGTGTAGAGGTTTTCCTAACTCTCTGCATCCATGCCAACATTTGTTGTTTTGAGACATTCTGATAAAAGGCAAAGTTTTCTCTTGACTCTACAAGATTATTTCTCCAAGTCAAGCTTTAGCTTTAAATAATATATATGATAGAAAAAAATGGCATTAATTCTTTACTTGGGGACCATACTGTTAATATATTCATAAAAAGAAACAAAAGAGAACTCATTACCTTGGTTGAATCATTAGTGTATTAGAACACATATTCTTTTCAAAAATAACTTGCAAAGGCTGGCTTTCTTGAAAACATATATTATGAGTTCTTTTAATACCTTAAAAAGAATAAAGCAACCTATTAATAATTTTTAAGTGCAAAATGAACAGATTTTAAAGTCTGTAAGTTCTACAGCCTAAGTAAAATAATAAACTAACATTTCCTATCTGGCAGGAGCATAGTAGACCTTAGAGAAACATCATTAATGAAATGTGTTTATCGCCCCCTAGTGGACACCAAGCAACACGTCACATCCTCTGACGAGGCAGTAACAAGAGTTCCAAAATCCCTTTCAAATACAGGTAGTTTCTTCCTCCTCCCTTTTTCTTCTCTTTTTTCCTTTTCTCTCTCTTTTTTTTTTCCAGACAGTGTCACGCTGTCACCCTAGTAGAGTGCTGTAGCGTCACAGCTCACAGCAACCTCAAACTCTTGGGCTTAAGCTATTCTCTTGCCTTAGTCTCCCAAGTAGCTGGGACCACAAGTGCCTGCCAGAATGCCAGGCTATTTTTTGGTTGTAGTTGTCGTTGTCTGGCAGGCCTGGGCTGGATTGGAACCCGCCAGCTCTGGTGTATGTGGCTGGTGCCCTAGCTGCTTGAGCTACAGTTGCTGAGCCCCTCTTTCTTTTTTTTTTGTTTCTCATTCTTTCTTTCTTTTTTTCTGTTAAGAAATAGGGTCACACAAGCTGAAATACAGTGATGCAATCATAGCTCACTGCAACCTCAAACACCCAGGCTCAAGCAATCCTGCCTCAACCTTCCCAGTAGCTAGGACTACAGGTTTGCACACTAGGACTACAAGTTTGCAGAACACTCAGCTAATTTTTTTTTTTTTTGAGACTCACTTTGTCACCCTCAGTAGGGTACTGTAGGATCATAGCTTACAGCAACCTCAAACTCTTGAGCTCAAGTGATCCCCTTGCCTCAGCCTCCCGAGTAACTGGGACTACATGTGCTCACCATAATGCCTGGCTCTTTTTTTTAAGAGACAGAATTGCTCTTGCTCAGGCTGATCTTGAACTCCTGAGCTCAGGCAATCCACCCGTCTTGGCCTCCCACAGTACTAGAATTACAGGCATAAGCCACTGTGCCTGGCTTCAGCTAATCTTTTATTTTTTATTTTTTTTGAGACAGAGCCTCAAGCTATCCCCCTGGGTAGAGTGCTGTGGCATCACAGCTCACAGCAACCTCCAACTCCTGGGCTCAAGCAAGTCTCCTGCCTCAGCCTCCCAAGTAGCTGGGACCACAGGCACCCACCACAACGCTCAGCTATTTTTTGGTTGCAGCCATCATTGTTGTTTGGCAGGCCCGGGCTGGGGATTCGAACCCACCACCTTAGGTGTATGTGGCTGGCGCCTTAGCCGCTTGAGCCACAGGCGCCGAGCCTATTTTCATTTTTAAAGGAAGAGAAAGTATAGCAATAAGAGGAATGGCCTTTTGTGCCAGGAACTGAGCATAGATTTTACATATATATAGTATTCTCTCTGATCCTCCCATTATCCCTATGGGGTAAAGACTTAACCTCAGAAGAAGAAACTATAGCTCAGTGAGATTATGTGACCTTTCAAAGCTATAATGTTTTAACAAGTACAACTAGAATTTTAATCTACCTTTGCATAAAGAACACATGCAATAAAATCCAGGTGGGTTATATACTTTCTATAGCATAGTTGCAGTAAGAATCAAAAGGGCTCACTAGAAATAACATTCTCAACTTATGTGGGATTTTTTACTAAATTAATAACAGCAATATTTATTAATTTGATAAATATTTGGTTAGCACTTACTGTGTGCCAGACTGTATTAATTTGTACTGCATAACAAACCACTCCAATACTTTGTGGCTGTGTTAGCTTTTGCTGCATAACAAACCCCTCCAACAAATATTTGTCATTTTTCATGATTTAGCTGCATGGTTCTTCTGGCCTAGGCTAGGCATAGTTCAGGTGGCCTCACTTTCATTGCTGGGGTCTCATCCATGACAAGTGAGATGGCTGTGATGACTGAGATGGATAAGACCTCACACCACATGGTCTCTAATCCTCCAGGAGACTATACTGTTGCACATTCTCATGATGGTGGAAGGGTTCATAAGACAACAATGGAAGCTGACGTGTCTCTGGAGGGTTGGCTTAGAACTCATGCAATATTACTTCTAGTATACTCTATTGGCACCATATCCAAGTCTAAGCCCAGCCAAGTTTCAAAGTGGGGAAACATACTCCAACTATTGAAAGGAGGAGCGACAAATAATTTGTGACTTTTTTATTTTTGTAATTTACCACACAGGGACTATTTTAGGAGCTGGAACTAGCAAAGAACAAATCAGACAAAAATCTCTGTTCTCACAAAGATTAGATTCCAGCGAACAGAGACAGACAAGAAAAAAACTATGGCTCGGCGCCTGTGGCTCAAGCGGCTAAGGCTCCAGCCACATACACCTAAGGTAGCGGGTTCAAATCCCCAGCCCGGGCCCGCCAAACAACGATGGCTGCAACCAAAAAATGGCCAGGCATTGTGGCGGGTGCCTGTAGTCCCAGCTACTTGGGAGGCTGAGGCAGGAGACTCGCTTGAGCCCAGGAGTTGGAGGTTGCTGTGAGCGTTATGCTATGGCACTCTACCTAGGGGGATAGCTTGAGGCTCCGTCTCAAAAAAAAAAAAAGAAAAGAAAAAAACAAGTAAAACAAGGCAAAATAGGGCACACACCCTAAGGAGGAAGACACCAGGGCTTCTGAATCATGGAGGAACATATAGGCCATTCTGACATCTATGGCTTTTATCCTGGGTAAAATCAGGAGCCATCTGAGATTTCTGAGCACTGGAATGACATAATCTGATCTATTTTTAGAGATTCTGGATTCACAAAAGGTCATGGGGAAAAATTTTTTAAGAAAATAAAGGTGGCTTGGCACCCATAGCACAGTGGTTATGGCGCCAGCCACATACACTGAGGCTGGTGGGTTCAAACCTTTATTTTGCTCTCTATAAAATGGGTATAATCTTGCCTACCTTTATGTTATAGAATTGCCATAGGGATAAAGTAAGATCATATGTGGTAATTTATCCTAGACCTTGCAGCCTCTAGTGCACTCTAGCTGGGGCAACACAATGAGACCTTTTCTCAAAAAAAATTGGTTTGTCTGCAGGTACAGCTTATGCCATTGATAAGTCAAAAGGACCAAACATCTTACAAGACTTCTACAGCTACTGGTAAGACAATACTTGCAACTGCCCTCCGCATAATTACACAAATTCTAAGGAATAATGCAATGCAAAGTCTTAATATACAGTTTAAATATTCTAAACATGAAAAATACTGTGAAAAAACATATTTTAAGCCACTTTTAATTATACCTACCATATCTGCAGAAGAACTGAATAACTACTTTGCACTTTTCAGATCTGGTGAATATTTTGCATTTCTCTACATTTCTTTCAAGGGAATTTGGACACCTAAAGATGGGCAGAATTGACTGTAACACAAATACATTATACATATTAAACACATACTTAATATAGTCTTTTTAAATTAGCTTAAATACTAGTTTTTTTTTTTAAACTAAGAAAAGTGGCCCGGCGCCTGTGGCTCAAGTGGCTAAGGCGCCAGCCACGTACACCTAAGGTGGCAAGTTCGAATCCAGCCCTGACCCGCCAAACAACAATAATGGCTGCAACCAAAAAACAGCCGGGTGTTGTGGCGGGCGCCTGTGGTCCCAGCTACTTGGGAGGTAGAGGCAGGAAACTCACTTGAGCCCAGGAGTTGGAGGTTGCTGTGAGCAGTGAAGCTATAGCACTCTACCCAGGGGGACAGCTTGAGGCTCTGTTTCAAAAAAAAAAAACTAAGAAAAGTGTAAATATTCATAAATGAATGGACTTGTCTTGCATGCCATTTAAACTATGGGGTATCCCAAAAGTCACTCCTGAAGTTCCCATAGATATATGGAAAATGGGAAATTGTAATGTTAAATGTACTTTTATTTCCACAACATTCATTACAAAATTTTACAAAGAGGTGGCCAACACACAGAGAATATTTTGTAAATATTTGTATAATTTTGTAATGAATATTTTGAAACTAAATGTACATTTAGCTGCAATTTCCCATTTTCCCTATGGATGGTGACTTTGGGGACATCCTATATTAAGTAGAGAATACATGCTATGTTCTGTTTAAAAAATTTTCTACTGAATAAGAGAAAACTGGGCAGCTCCTGTGGCTCAAAGGAGTAGGGCGCCAGCCCCATATGCCAGAGGTGGTGGGTTCAAAACCCAGCCCTGGCCAAAAACTGCAAAAAAAAAAAAAAGAGAGAGAAAACCAGGGTCACTTATATTTACCTTCATTCCCAATTTGCAATTTAAATTAAATGTTGTGTCTTTATCATTGATTTTCACTGAAGCTGACCATTGATAATGTTGAAAAAACACAGGAGAGAACAGAATACATCCATATGCTGATCGAGAAGAATTCACAGATCTTAGAGCAAGCTGGAAAAATAAGATAAAGGCTATTATCAGAAAATGACTTTTTTTAAACCATAATTTAATTTTAAATAAGTCTATGGAATGTTAACCACGGCACTATTCAGTATGTGTTAAAATTGCACATGTATATACATGTGTATATATTGGCACCAGCCACATACACTGAAGCTGGTGGGTTTGAACCTGGCCCGGGCCAGCTAAACAACAACAACTGCAACAAAAAATAGCTGGGCATTGTGGCGGGCGTCTGTAGTCCCAGCTACTTGGGAGGCTGAGGCAAGAGAATCACTTAAACCCACAAGTTTGAGAGGCAACATAGTGAGACTCTGTCTCAAAAAAAAAAAAATCTTATATCTTGCACATTGAAAATTTACAATAGAAAATGCCTGGCTCGGCGCCTGTGGCTCAAGGGGCTAAGGTGCCAGCCACATACACCCAAGGTGGTGGGTTTCAATCCAGCCCAGGCCCGCCAAAACAACAATGACAGCTGCAACCAAAAAAAAAAGCCGGGCGTTGTGGCGGGCGCCTGTCGTCCCAGCTACTTGGGAGGTTGAGGCAGGAGACTTGCTTGAGCCCAGGAGTTGGAAGTTGCTGTGAGCTCACAGCACTCTACCCAGGGGGATAGCTTGAGGCTCTATCTCAAAAAAAAAAAAAAAAGAAGAAGAAAATGCCTATAAGTGCCTTAACTTTAAAGTGTGAGGTGGCAATACAAAAGGGAGCTACAGCATACTGGCAGTCTTACACCTTGTGTAAGGGGGGGAATTACTTTCAGCCATTACTTCCATTTGGAAATGCAAGCCCAAAGTGGGCAAGTCTTCTGAATGAATTTTCACAAGAAGCAGGAAAAATTGGACTGTCTCAATTTTTTTTTTTGGAGACAGAGTCTTACTATGTCACCGTCAGTAGAGTGCCATGCCATAATAGCTCACAGCCAACCTCAAACTTTGGGGCTCAAGTGATTCTCAGCCTCTGGAGTAGCTGGGACTACAGGTGCTTGCCACAATGACTGGCTATTTTCAGAGACAAGATCTCGTGATGGCTCAGGCTGGTTTCAAACCTGTAAGCTTAGATAATCCACCTGCCTTGGCCTCCCAGAGAGCTAACATTACAGGCATAAGCCACTGCACCTGGCCTGGTCTGGCCTGTCTCAATTTTTAATGTCAGAAGTTATTTCAAATTTTTTTAGGATATGAAAGTATAAGTTTATTCTATAGGAGAGGGGAGAGAGATGGAGAGATAAGAAAGGGAAAGAAGACAGCAGAGAACAGGAAGTAAGAGAGGGAAGGATGGGGTGTTATTTCAATTTATTTTCATTTTTTTAAAATTTCAGATTAATATAAGGGTACAAATGATTAGGTTACAATGTTTGCAGTTGTTATGTAAGGTCCCTGTTGTAGTTGTGTCTCTCACCCAGGTATATGCGTGCCATATACCCTTACATTGTGCCCACACCAATTCCCTTCTTCCTCCCCCTTCCTCCTCTCCCATCTTCCATTATTTCAAATTTTTAAAAAACAGTGGAACTATGTAACTTCTGGTTTAAATCAATTGTTTGTCTGCATGATTTTCAAGTTTTCTATGCTCAAAATATATTCAAATACTGAAATATTGAACACTGTATAAAAACAGTGTAACTTCTGGTTTAAATCAGTTGTTTGCATGATTTTCAGGTTTACTATGTTCAAAATCTATTCAAATATATAAAATTAAAAACAATGAAAAGGATGAGTACAGTTTCTGGATTTCCTGGTTAACATCCAATCTGGACTGGAATCTTTAAACATTTTCTCTTGCCTTAATAGTTTACTTTCTGGCTAAGCACCTATGGCTGAAGCGGCTAAGGTGCCAGCCACATACACCTGAGCTGGCGGGTTTGAATCCAGCCCAGGCTACCAAACAACAATGACGGCTGCAACCAAAAAATAGCCAGGCATTGTGGTGGGTGCCTATAGTCCCAGCTACTTGGGAGGTGGAGGCAGGAAAATCGCTGGAGCCCAGGAGCTGGAGGTTGCTGTAAGTTGTGATGCCACGGCACACTCTACCCAGGGCGACAGTTTGAGGCTCTGTCTCAAAAAAAAAAAAAAAACAGTTTACTTTCTTACTTTACTTCTATTAATTTACTTTCTTACTTACACCTTTTTCAGATGGGTCTAGCCATAGCTCGTCACTAACTCGTGATAAAGCTTGGATTGCTTTCCCAAATACTATGGAGAAAAAGAAAAGTGCTTTCTTACATTCTCTTCCTCCAACAATAAAAACAAACAAAAAAAACAAATCATAGAACTACTACAGCATTCAGAGGACTCAAGATAAAGTCATTTTAAAAACTCAGTTTTATAAACTAATACTACACAGCTTTAATACAGTATAATACCCTTGGCAAAATGACAGATACATAGCCAGAACTCCATAAAATTTGCAGTGTGTGAAATAAAATTCAACAAAATTCTTTCTCTTATATGTTTGTAGTGTTGCATAAAGCTATAATGGCAGGCTAATTTCCATACTAACATATTTTAAAACTTGAATGAAATAACTGTATTTGCTCTCCTCCCCCAAGAGTGTGAAAACAGTGCATGGAGTACATGATAGAAGTGTTTTAATTAATAGCTTCACAGATAGCAAAGTCAAAATAAATCTTGAGAAAGAAATTACAAATATTTAAATGTATCTCTGGTGTTGGAGGGCAGCATGGCAGATGCCAGACTTTCCTATCAAACATATTTAAGTATCCTGTCAGAAAGAGATGCTAGGGCTGGATGAAATATTGGTCTGATCTAGCATGATACTGTTAATGTTCTTATGAGTTATGAATAAGTAAGAGCCATAACAGATATGGGATACTATGCTACAGTAAAAATGGATGGCCACTTCAATTCATGGAAAAGTATAAAAAAGGAAAAATAATTCCAGTCATAAAATCAGATTACAATACTTAAGAATCACAATGCAGGCTCAGCGCCTATAGCTCAACCTGCTAAGGCGCCAGCCACGTACACCTAAGGTGGCGGGTTCGAATCCCCAGCCCGGACCCGCCAAACAACAATGACGGCTGCAACCATAAAATAGCCGGGCGTTGTGGCGGGCGCCTGTGGTCCCAGCTACTTGGGAGGCCGAGGCAAGAGACTCGCTTGAGCCCAGGAGTTGGAGGTTGCTGTGAGCTGTAATGCCACGGCATTCTACCCAGGGGGACAGCTTGAGGCTCTGTCTCAAAAAAAAAAAAAAGAATCACAATGCATACACTGGGAAAGGTAGGCTGGTAGTGATGGGTCATGCTTGTAATCCTAGCACTTTGGGAAGCTGAGGCAAGAGTATTTCTTGAGGTCAGGGGTTTGAAAACAGCATGAGCAAGAGCAAGACGGAGGCTCAGCCCCTGTAGTTAAGCAGCTAGGGCACCAGCCACATGGATTGGAGCTGGCGGTCTGAACCCAGCCTGGGCCTACCAAACTACAATGACAATTACAACAACAAAATAGCCAGGTGTTCTCGCAGGCGCCTGTAGTCCCAGCTGCTTGGGAGGCTGAGGCAAGAGAATCAGCTTAAGGCCAAGAATTTGAGGTTGCTGTGAGCTGTGATGCCATAGCACTCTACCAAGACCAATATAGTTAAGACTCTGTCTCAAAAAAAAAAAAAAAAAAAAGAAAGAAAGGAAAAAAAGCAAGACCCAGTCTCTACTAAAAATAGAAAAATTAGCTGGGTGTCTTGGTGGGCACCTGTAGTCTCAGCTTCTTGGGAGGCTGAGGCAAGAGGATCACTTGATCTCAAGAGTTTGAGGTTGCTTTGAGCTAGACTGACGCCAAGGTACTCAAGCCTGGCACAGAAGAGTGAGACTACCCCCAGCCAAAAAAAAGTAAAGGCATTTGTCCCTTTTCACCACTTGACCTTCACCACTTTTTCCTGGAGCTGCCTAATGCAGCCCTTTTATTCATCCAATGAATATTTACTGAGCACCTACTTATGTTTCAAGTACAACCCACTGGGCTACAGCAATGAATAAGACAGGTACAATTCCTGCCTTCATAGTGCTTATGGTCTAAGAGAGAAAATAAAATTAAACAGTTACTTATTAACAACTAAGGTACACTTTGCAAAAGAGAAGTTCCTAGTCCTCTGAAAACACACAGATGTAGGAAACTTAGGCTTCCCTTTCCTGCATATTAATACTGTCCCATAGCCAGTGGCTCACACCTGTAATCCCAGCACTGTGGGAGGCTGAGGCAGGAGAATGGCTTGAATTCAGGAGTTTGAGACTTGTCTGAGTGAGAGTGAGACCCTGATTCACTAAAAAAAAATGAAAACCCAGCCAGCACCCCACTGCGAGTGCCTATAACTCCAGCAGCTTCCAGAGGCTGAGGCAGCTGATGCCCAGAGCCTGAGTCTGAGGTTGCAGTGAGCTATGACACCATTGCACTCTGCTCAGGGCATAGGGTGGGACTCTCGTCTCAACAACAATAACAAGAAAAGTCTGTCCCATAGCTGTCCTCAACACACCAGAAGCCAGCCACAAGATACCTCTCCATGACCATTTTCAGGTTACCACCTTTAGGAAACCATTGCTTTTTAACTACAGTAGTACCTGTATAAGTTGACCCCTTAAGGGACTATAACAAACTGGTCAACACACAGAGGAGGCCTACTGTACTGATACGTACATATGGTGCATATTTGGTCTATGAAAATTAGATCAATTTAAGAAGGTTATTAATGTGGGAAGGTGGTCAACTATGGAGGTTCTACAGTACTTTTCTGGAGTAACTTCCATTTCTAAAGTGCCATTTACAATAATAATAATAATAGCTCCTGTTCGTTCCCATCTATTCTAGAGCTCTTTATACACGTTTCCATCTCATGGCTACAACAAACTCATAACGAAGGTACAGTTATTCCATCTTACAGATGAAGAAACAGCCCCAAAGCGACTTGACTGAGGTCGAGCATTCAAACAAAAACTGTAGAATTGGGAAGAAAACCCAGCCTTGTTTTTCTCTTGGCACAAAAATACTTTTGCTGCCTAAGGATTAATTAAATATACACCAACTTCTCCCTAAACAGCCCTCACCATCCCGAGCTTGAGGCCCCATGTTACAATTCCATCTCAGATACCGCCCATATTAAATATTATGCATAAAAAAAAGGAGATGGGCCTTCATCCTCCCCTCAGAAACTAACAGGACTCGCAAGGGTGTGGCCAGGCCTCTTGTCCTCACTCTTCGTCTGTAAAGGCAAACTGGAAAAGTGGAGATGCTCATGAACTTTTGGATTTTCCTTCTCTACCCAAGAAAGCAAGAAAGGCCTTTCCACCTTTGACTTGACTGCCGCTCATCCCGCATTTCAGCATGGCTACCAGCAGCGAAAAGCAAAGCCTGAAGGCACGCCTCAGCTCGAGGCCCCAAGTGCCCGGATGTTGCCCGCGCTTTTCCAAGCTTCGCGATCTCATCTCTCCACCCTACCACTCTGCCCCCACCAATTCCCAAAGCGCAAGTTCGCTTTACGGCTGGGAAGGGCCTGTGCGGGCCGCCGTATGGCAGTTTTCTGTCGACTTTGCTTTTCATTGGTTATGGGTGAGGTGGGCGGGACGCCGAGAAGCCTGAGGAAGAGGGCGGCGGCGGTTGTGGTAACTGAGCGGATCCCGGTGACAGGATGGTGAGGACGGTAGTTGTGGCGACTGAGGCCTGGCTTTCGGCCGGGAGCTGCGTCGATGGGAGCCACAGAGAGTCTAAGAGGGAGGGCTTGGGCGATCCCGGAGGCCTTGAAGACGCAGCCCAGGCGTTGGTCGGAGAAGGCCCACGACAGGGATAGGGAAGGAAGGGAGCGGCCACCTCTGGGTGCGGTCGGCCCTTGCCTCATACTGGGCCCCAGGCACCAGCGGACGTACGAGGGATAGGGGATGATCCAGTCACGAGGTCTGCTTGCCTGATCCGGGAAAAGCTTTTGGTTCTTTGAATAGAACGTCCCCGAGAGAGGGGCGACGATTCTTCTCAGTTTCCAGATGTTTCCCTCCTCCTTTCCCGCAAAAATTACCTCCCACTGGTTGGGGTGTACAGGTTACCATCCCCTTGTGTCGAAAACTGGCCTCTCGTGTGCAAAACGGGAAGGAGCGAGCAGAATTCCCTGTCCTTTTAGGTTTGCTATGTAGAGAAAGGGAATAGAAACAACCCCCCCCCCACCCAAAAAAGGAAAAAACGTGCGTGTGCTTTTGTAATCTGAAGTGTGCTCCCCAGAGGGCAGGAGTTGGCGCTTAAGATTAGTTGTTTCTTTGGGATGCTGCGACCCTTTAGATAGGATTCCTTAATAGTCTGTGAACTACTCGAAATTGTTTGGAAAATGTTGTGAATATGTACGTTTTTCTGGGGAAAGGGCCAGTGGCTCCAAAGAATATTTTAGGGGGCTTTACCTCTTTTGTTCATCAGTCTTCCTCAGTCTCCCCCATACAACTTCAAGCCATCACCCCTTCTCCCCGAACAGATTGATATTCCTAAAACCTTCTTAAATAAAAACTAGGGAGTTGCTAATGGAGAGGCCTCATACCTGTAATCATTTTCAAAGGCGTCCTTGACTCTGAAAAGTGAACTGTTTCAAGAGGAGCTGTGATTATCTTTGCGTTTGTGTCGATAGAGGTTATCTGAAAAGGGACTACTCTCTCTGATAGGCATCGGTTGCATTTTTGAGATTATTACTATTCCATGACAAACATAGCCTTTTCAAAAGTGGCTTATAGACGTGGCAGCCAAAGATTTATGCTGTTACGTTTCATTATTTTACTTTTTTGGGGGGGGTGGGGACAGAGTCTCACTTGGTCATCCTTGACAAGAGTGCCATGCCGTCTTAGTTCACAGCAGCAACCTCAAACTCTTGGGCTCAAGTGATCCCTTTTGCCTCAGCCTCCCAGGTAGCTGGGACTACAGGCACCTGCCCGAACAGCTGGCTATTTTTTTTTTTTAAGAGATGGTGTCTTGCTCTGGTTCAGGCTGATCTTGAACCTGTGAGCTCAGGCAATCTACCTGCCACCGCCTCCCAAGTGCTGGGATTACAGGCGCGAATGCTGTTATATTTTTAACGATTTAATCCCACTTCTGATTTTTAGCTTATAAACAGACTCTAAAATAATTTAATTTATTCTCCTAGGAGTCAGTAATTTTAAGACACCTACTCCTAGGAGAAAATGTAATCATTACTTGTCATGATTTCCATAGTCATGTTTCTGAAGTTTTGAGAGATGAACACTATTTTTTAGGGTATTTGTATTGGAACATCACTTTTCATATGAAATAGTAAAGACTGGGCAGAATTTGGCATTAGCTAATTCTTTTATGATTAAAAGCTTTTATTTGGCAAAAGAGACACCCACTACACAGTATCCAGAATATATGGGCAGCAAATTCAGGTGCATTTTTAACTGATGAATGTGTGTGTTTTTATTATCTTTGGTTGGCATGTTTATCACTTGATAATGTATTCATGCTATTGTGTTACATCCTCTATAAAAAATAATGACCTAGATGTAGCATAATTTTCTAACTACTAGAATTTTGAATGTAAAAGAATTAAAATCTACACTCTTGAGGAAAAGACTAATCCAGAAAATGGTAGCCTTTAAGCTATTACTAATGAATTTACAAGTTGTCTTCTAAAAATCTAAATTAATGGCTCGCCTGTGGCTCAAGTGGCTAAGGCGCCAGCCACATACACCTAAGGTGGCGGGTTTGAATCCAGCCTGAGCCGCCAAAACAACAACGGCTGAAACCAAAAAATAGTCAGGCGTTGTGCTACTTGGGAGGCTGAGGCAGGAGACTCGCTTGAGCCCAGGAGTTGGAGGTTGCTGTGAGCTGTGCAGCCACAGCACTCTACCCAGGGGGATAGCTTGAGGCTCTGTCTCAAAAAAAAAAATCTAAATTACTTAAAAGGAAAAAAAATCTAAATTAATTTATTTTATAAAACTTCATAAAAGTCTAAACAGCATGGAAAACAAAAAGGATGGAACTCATTGTGGAGACTAGATTAGGAAAAGTAGAAAAGACTGGCAAAACAAATTTATCAACATGTATTTGTGTCATGTTTAAAAATACAGCAAATGTTTCTTTTGGTATTGTTTTCAGCACAGCTGATTTTTAACATTTTCTTTCATAACACTCAGAAATCATTAACGGTTTGCATTTTCATTCATGTGGGTTTTTGTTCTTTTATTGGTTGTTTTCTTTTCGTTGCTTTCTTTTAACATTGGTCATGTTTCACCCTTTTTTTTTCATCCCCCTGTCTGCAATCAACTTCTTCATTCCACTAAGGCTGGGCACAGAGTAAGTTCCTTCTGTTAGCTCCTACTAACAGTGGTGGTTGGGTGGCTAATTACTGACTGGGTTTCTCCTCCTTTAAGTCTATCAAATAGGAAATAACCAAATTCCCATGCTTTGATTGGGTTGGTTCTTTATTTGGATTTAATAAGGCTCCCATTTACAGGATCTTTTGCTTTCTTAAAGGACTCTATAATCTATGTCTAACCTGATTTGTCAAAGTGTGGAATTTGGGCACTAAAATATGTGTTATTGACACTATTTTCCCTGTAACTTTGTCACCAGCTGGAAACCAGATGATTCTGTTCTCCTGAGGAGCCTTACCAATTTGAAATCATTTCTGTATGGTCATTCATACAATTATATCTTTAGACTGCTAATAGTCTTGAGTTCATTTTGGGATAATCCATGATACTCTACAGAATTTATGTCATCAGTCATTATAAAGTACTATGTCTTACTAATGTTCTTTCTGGGTACTTTCACATTGAACAAATAATTGATCGTCAGTCTTAAACATTTTCAATGTATTAATAGGTATATACACTTTTATGAGTTGGGGGGGTCCTTTTTTTTTAATATAGAAATCTATTTTTTACCTTTTTCTCAAATGCCAGCTTCCCACATTAACTATGTACTTGAATCTATATCTGAAGGAATCCCATCTAAAATGAAGATTGTCTATATCCAGGTACTTTTATATGATTACCAGTGACGATGGAAACTTCACAGTGGTTTTTAGTTTTAGGGATGTTTGTCCACTAAGATTTGCATTGAAACAAGTAATCTAAGTCACTGAACAAATACCAGCTGAAACTAGTCTTTATGAAGAAGAAACTTAACAATTTCTTTTAAAGTGTGCTAATTTTGTAATCTTGTGTTACTTCATTTACTCTATATCCTGATAACAGTTCCTTTTCTTTTCAGTCATTTTATTTTTGTTGTAAGATGAATCAAGCTTGTTTTAGTGATCATTTTAATTTTACTTATTTATTTTATTGACACAGAGTCTCACTTTGTCACCCTCATAGAGTGCTATGGGATCATAGCTCACAGCAACCTCAGACTCTTGGGCTCAAGTGATTCTCTTGCTTCAGCCTCCTGAATAGCTAGGACTGCAGGCATCTACCACAATACCCAGCTATTTTTAGAGATGGCATCCCACTCTAGCTCTGGCTGGTCTCCAACTTGTGAGCTTAGGTGATCCACCTGCCTTGGCCCCCCAGAGCAAAGTCTGTAGTGGCAAAACTATTTTGTTTTATCCTACTAGATATTTAATGTTTTCTTTGACAACGTTAAGGAATAGTCTTGCCTTTAAAAGCAGTTGAGGGGGCCTGGTGCAGTGGTTCATGTCTGTAATCCTAGCATTCTGGCAGGCCAAGGCAGGAGGATCTCTTGAGCTCAGGAGTTCCAAACTAGCCTAAGAACAAGATTCCATCTTTACTAAAATAGAAAAATTAGCCAGGCATCTTGGCAAGTGCCTGTAGTCCCAGCTACATGGGAGGCTAAGGCAGGAGCTGGCTTGAGCCCAGGTGTTTGAGGTTACTGTGAGCTGGGCTGACGCCAGGGCACTGTAGTCTGGGCAAGAGTGAGACTGTCTCAAAAAACAAAAAAAACCCAGGCAGTTAAAGGGCATCTACATTTATGGATAGGATGTCTGAAAACACATTGTATAGAATGGAGGTGCTTCTGCTAATCAAGATGAAGAAATTGATTCTATTGTCCTTTGAAAGACAAATACTTTTTTTTTTTTTTTTTGAGACAAAGTATCATTATGTCACCCTCGGTAGAGTTTCCTGGTGTCACAGCTCACAGCAACCTCAAACTCGGGCTAAAGTGATTCTTTTGCCTCAGCCTCCCAAATAGCTGGGATTACAGGCACCTGCCACAATGCCCAGCTGTTTTTTTGTTGTAGTTGTCTTTGTTTAGCTGGCCTGGGCTAGGTTCAAACCCACGAGCCTGGGTGTATGTGCCTGGCACCCTACCCACTGAGCTATGGGTGCTGCCCAACAAATACTATTTTTAAATAATCTAATAATATGTTAATGGACTAAAATAATGTTGGTCAAATCTTTTTTTTTTTTTTTTTTTTGAGACAGAGTTTCACTTTGTTGCCCTGGGTAGAGTGCTGTGGCATCATAGCTCAC